GAACTAAAATAAATAAATAAATAAATAAATTCTCTCTCTCTCTCTCTCTCTCTCTCTCTCTCTCTCTCTCTCTCCCCCTCTCCTCTCTCTTTTAAAAAAAAAAAGAGTAGTTTTGATTTGCATTTTTCTAATTGCTAGGTATGTTGAACATTTTTTCATATATTTTTTGATTAATTCAAATCTTCTGAGAGGTTCAGTTCCTTGTTCCCATTGATTGGCTTATTTGTTGTTTTGGTGTTATTTTCTTCTCTTTTTATTAGAATTGGTATAAGTTGTGCTCGATTATATGTATGTCATTTCTGGCCTGAAAAATCTTCCTCCTTGATGGAGAATACAAAGATAAAACAGAAATGGGGACATTCTATTTTACCAAGCCATTCCATCCATGACATCAATTCTAATCACTGGACTTTTTCTTTTGTTGGCCTTTCCAACTCCAAAGGAGAATTCAAATACTATTTTAATTCCATTTCTTCTTTATAGAGGAAAATTTTTGCAAGTTTTACCTCATTGGTGTATTTGCTCTTATTTTCTCGACACTGTTATATATTTACACATTTTCTGTTAAGGAATTTAAAAAGCATACATGTGATTCTTCTAAAGAACCTTTTGCCTAATGATGAGGTATTCATCAGGCCCTGGAGGGCATGACTTGTGGTTCACTAACCCTAGGGTCATCAGGGTTTCTGGAAGACTCTAGGATTGCTGCAGTGTTCTCCTGACTTAGACCACTGTGGTTTTAGACTATAATTTTATAGTTTTTCAAATTTGACTCTTCATTATACTAAAGAGAATAGACCAGTTTGAATTATTTTTATCTCATATGCCTCTTGTTGTTTCAATTAATTAAACATACCCAAATTTAGTTATAAAGAAGTATATGTGAAGATCAATGTTCAAGTTTTAAATACTGATATCTATGCAAGGGGGAAATGTAGGAATATTCAGCAGAACACTAAGTACCATTGCAGCACTTGTTAATAAGCAGCAGAAAGACATTAACACACTAATAGATGTTTTCTTTCTCCACAGGAACAAAAACTGAACACTTTGCAAAAATTGGATGGAAAAATCATAAACATTCAGTTAATAACCCGTAAGTATTTCAGAGATATGAGATTATAAGAAATCTGGTTTATCCTTTTGTGTAATATCCAACTTTGTACTTTAAAAAGCAAATGTAAGATCTCAAAGATTTCAGCCTGAATCTCATTGCTTCTTTTTTAAACAAATATTTATTTTTTAGTTATAGGTGGACACAATATCTTTATTTTTATTTTTATTTTTTTTAATGTGATGCTGAGGATAGAACCCAGTGCCTCCCACATGCTAGGTGAGTGCTCTACCTCTGAGTCACAACTAYAGCCCTCATTGCTTCTCTTAACACCTTCTTAGAGCTTCATTGCCTCTTCTGAATACTTTTGTTTTGACACATCACATTTAGTTACCTGTGAGTCTTCTTCTGATGATGATGATCCTCAAGCAGCCATGTGTCTCATCTTGGTGTTTATAGGATCCAGTAGGGTACTTAAATGTGCAATGAAACTTTGCGGTTATTGAATAGTAGAATTAGGATGAGCAGTTTTATGCCCATAAATATGGTCTAGGATTGGTTTTCTTTGTATTTAGAACTAGAAAATCATAAAAACTCTTCGTGATTTCCTGAAACTATAAGGAATTGGTTCTGTCTGATAGCACTGCAGTTTGAGGCTTAAAAAGTAGCTCTTCACTTTACCCAAAGAATTAGAGCTTCTAAGTCTTTCTTTGGCTTAATTACTTGCCTGACCAGGCACTCATTTATCCACTTTTTATATATTCTCTTAAGGAATTTTTTTCAACAAATATATGTTCAGTAGCCCACTACATATAAGACATTGCTCTAGCTACTGGTGATAACACAGATGAGTTTGTTGCTCCCATGGATCTTCTGTTACATATTATAAATTGTCAATTATGTTGAATAGGCAGACATTATTTATTTTTCTTTCTTTAAAGATTTCCTTTTTTCTTTCTTTTTTTTTKKGGGSGGGRAGCTGGGAATTGAACCCAGGGGATCTTTCCTGCTTAGCTACATCCCCAGTCCCCTACTCCTTTTTCTTTTTGACACAGGGTCTCACTAAGTTGTGAAAGTCTTGCTAAATTGCTGAGGCTGGCTTCAAAACTTGTCATCTTCCTGCCCACTGCACCAGGTTGACATATGTTATTACTGAATATCATTTTATTGTTCTTATTTTTAGTTGTAGTTGGACACAGTATCCTTATTTTATTTATTTATTTTTATGTGGTGCTGAGGATAGAACCCAGGGCCTCACACATGTGAGGTGAGCACTCTACTGCTGAGCCACAACCCTGCCCACTGGATGTCATTTTTATCATTTAAAATTCTTTGAAGCAAGGGTTGTGATCAGTGGTAGAGCATTTGCCTAGCATGCATGAGGCACTGGGTTTGATTCTCAGCACCACATACAAATAAATAAAATAAAGATCCATCAACAACTAAAAAAAAAAAAGTCTTTGAAGCAGCCCAGAAGAGCCTTTTGGGTTTGTTTCAGAAATTTTAGATGGTAACTTCTTGTATTCGGTTTTGCTTGGCTAGTGATAAAGAGAATTCTGGGCTTGCTGACCAGTCATTAGAGATACTCTGGCACATATTCCTATRTAAGGTTGAATTAAGAAATTGTTCTCAAGCATTTTCTTACCAATTATAAGAATACAGTGAGAATTGATGATAAGGATTAGAGATAGCTTGTGTCACTTGAGGTTTCACACCTGTGTCTATAACTTTCCCTTGGTTGTCGCCTCAGATGTCCCACAGGTGCCTACGAATCAACATGTTCATATAGAATTTGTCATTTCCCTTCAATCCTGTTTCCCTTTCATTGTTCTGCATCTTAGCAAATGACATCAGAATACACCTAGTCATCTAAGATAGAAAACGAGAAGTCATGTTTGCATCTGCCGTTCCCCTCAGTGTCCCATATGTAGTGGTTTGAAGTCCTAGAGATTTTGCCCCCCTTGCTATCTCTGAATTTATCCTTTCTCTCCATCTTTCATTTCCAGTTTGCAGCCTCTCCCCTGCTTTTTTCCTTTTTCTTCAGTACAGGGAATTGAACTCGGGGGTGCTTTACTACTAAGCTATATACCCAGTTCTTTTTATTTTTTGCTTTAAGGCAGAGCCTCCCTAAATTGCTGAGGCTGGCCTTAAACTTGTGATCCTCCTGCCTCAGTCTCCTATATTGCTGGGATTACAAACTATGTGCTGCTGGGCCTGGTGGACCTTATCATTTCTT